TCCCCAAGTTCAGAGTCTCCCTGCCCCCAGCACAGGGCTCCCTGCACCAGGAGGAGGGGCCCTGCCCAGCCCAGCCCTGGGGACCTGTGGTGGGAGACCAGGCTGGAGGCTCCAAGGGGCTTTCTGGAGACAAGCCTGGTCTGAGCCTAGGAGAGGTGCTCAGGTAAAGAGGAGAAAGGTAGTCCTGGCTGAGGGCAAAGCGTGAACTGACAAAGGCACGGGAGCGTGGACCAGGACGAGCCAACAGCAGCGAGGGCTTGGGGGGCCGACGGGGAGCCAGGAGCATCTGCAGGGGCTGCACCAGGTTGGCTTCGCAGCCCCAAAGCCTCATTCTGGCCCTGGGGTGTGGACGCCACAGGCAGCATGGCGTGGCCACAGTCTCAGACCCTGGGCGGCCCCTCCCCATGACTGTCAGGCTCCACAGCCCTCCCAGCTCCACGCCCGGGCCGGGCCCAGGGAGGGGCAGGCTCAGGGTGTTGGTGGAATGAAGAAGAAATGGCCGTTCCGGTGTAGCTGGTGATGGATCTGGACCCGGGGGCTGGGGTTCAGCTATCTCCCCACCCAAGCAGGGACTGTGGTGTGAGTGCCCCTCTGGGGTTCTCTGTGGTCCCCAAAGCCCCCTCTTACAGGCAGACTCCCTAAGTCGTGGAGCACGTGGGAGGGCAACTGGCATGGGCAGGGTGGTCCTCCGGGTGGGTGAGGAGCTGACTGGCCCGCCTCCGGCTTTTCCTGTCAGCCTGGCAGCAGAGAGCAGGTGCCCATCCTGTTTCCTTTTTCTCCACGGCTTCCAGGCAGCTCGGGGCACATTTTGTGCTCAGCCACGAGGGCCTACGCCCTTAGACTGGGCTTTCTGGGCCAGCGCCGCTCCACCCAGCATGGCGATCCCTTATCTTATCCGTAATAATCCCATTGTACCCGAGGCTTTCACTGGAAGCAGCCGCAAATCCTTCTGGCAGGAAAGAAACACATTTTTGTTCCCCAGGGCTCTCTTTGGCCCAGGATTGGCAGCTGACTCTGCTTCCCAGGCAGACTTCAGAGGCCCAGCACAGCACCCACCCGGAGGTCACGCCCTTTCACAGCCCGGCCCCGGGCCGAGCCAGGAAAGGGGATGTAGCCTGTTTACACAGTGGGAGACGGGCTCGGGGTCAGCAGGGAATGGACCCAGGATGCCTGCCGGGTCCCTCTCAGGCCAACAGGACACTCTACCACCCAAACCCCTCACCCTCCGTCTCCACCCGCCCCCCCCACTGCTGTATTTGGTGTTCTCAACAGTCCAGCTGGCCAAATGGGAGGCTGACACTCAAGAGTGTGTGAGTGGCAGGGGCAGGAGGGACGACCTGAGGTCTCCTGGCCCCTCGTGACAGACTCAGAGCAGGGACACAGGGTCCTCAGGGCAGGAGACCCTCACCTGGGTCTCCTTCTCCCGTACTCCTCAGCTCCGAGGGTCTGGGCTTCTACTACTATGGAACTCCCACCATCTTGTCCCTCTGAGTCACCACCCACGTCCACGTGATGCCCCTCAAATGCCCCTTGGCAAGCAGGGGAGGCCACCCATCCCTGCCCTGGGCCACCCGGGGAGATGCCAGGCTGACGCGTGGCCGGGTGCCCGTGGTGCTCCACACGGGGCCGCGGAGCCCGAGGGGACTCTGCAGGACACAGGGCGCCTCCAGCCTGGCTGCCTGTTGCCTCCCCCTTGTGTGCGGGGGGCTGTGGAGTGCTGACGGTGACAGGAGGCCAGGGTTCGGCTCGGCAAAGGCCCACACCGGACTCAAGACGGGCCTACAGGCGCCGTGTGTGTGGATCCGAGGCTACAGGGGAATATTTGAGCCCTGCCGACGGATGTGATATAAAAATACAGCCGGCTGCCAGCACAGCCAGGGGGACCGCTTCCTCGCCAGCAAGCGCGGAGGAACCGTGTTTCCTCCCAGCCCAGCCCCCGCCCCCAGAGCCGGGGGCCGCACTCAAAGACGGAGCTGCCTTTCTCAAGAATTAGCAATGCTGCTGCTCCGAGTAATTTTTTTTGTTCTACACTGAGCTGTAACAGAATATTTGCATTATTCTTTTTCCCCCCTTTTCTACAAGCTCAGCAATTGAATTAAAAGGCAGGAGTTAATTTAAACAAATGTCTGTCTGGTACATCTTGTAAGAGCTGCCTCTGCGGTGGGCTGGGCCGCACAGCGCTCAAGCTGAGCCCCACTCAGGACCAGCGCCTTGATCTTGCTGTGGATTTTTTTATTTTGCCTGAAATCTCCCAAGAGCCCAAGGGGAAGCCTTGGGCAGGAAGGCAGCCGTGTAGGATGCTGCTCCAGCGGGGAGGCTCAAAGAGCACCTCTGTTCTCAGGACACCCGAGCTGGGGTGCTTGGGGCATGAGCTCCTCAGAGCTGGGCGTTTCTGGGTTCACGGGGTGCTCTGCCCTCAACACTTGTGTGTCCTGGACCAGACGGTCAACTCTGGGCCTCAGCTTCCTCAGCCACAGACGGGGAGTGACAATGGGAGCCTGGCACCATGGAGTAGAGGTGAAGATGCCGGTACGAGAGGACAGCCACTGGGTGAATGAGTGGGCCGCGGTGGACAGACCTCCTGGACAAGCAGTGGACGGGTGGACAGAGGTCTGAGCCCCTACTCTGTACACCAGAGCAATCTCCCGGAAAGATGGTTCCTGAACCACGTCGGGAGCAGTGGGTGCTCATGGACCCTCGGGGGACGTCAGCACCCCCACTTCAGCAGTGAAGACAGCGAGATTCGGGGCAAGGTGACGGCCGTCCCCCTGCGGCAGGGCTGGGTGAGAAGCCAGGCTCTGTCTGTTCCTCCAGCTGAGAGGGGCTCTCCAGGCAGCAGCTACTACCCGAGGTGAACATCTGTTGGCTGGATGGGGTGTTGAGCACGGGTGCCGGCAGGCCCAGCGGCAGCCCTGGAGGGTGCAGTTGGTGGGATCAGGGGGAAAGGAAGAGGATGTTCGTGCCGACATTCTTCCCTGGGCCGTGGGCCGGGCTACGTGCTCCGGCGGCACACTCAGAGTTCATCCCCCAAGAGCCCTGGGGGTCACCCCACTGCCCCGAGGAGGCCCTGAGCTCAGAGGCAGCACCAGTGTCGGCCACGCCACCTCCGATGGAAGGTCACCCTCTTGGGCCCCCCGTTTGGCTGGCAGGTTGTACCGTAGGTTGTCAGGCCCGGCAGGGCCTGAGCTTCCAGCAGCCCCCCACTTCACAGGAGGGGTGCTGAGGTCAGAGAGGGCAGGCGACGCCTGAGCAAGCTCAGCAACCCCGCAGCAGGGCCGGGCCTCCGGCACGGACGCCCCGCCTAGGCCCCTGCCCGGTGGTGGGAGGTCAGACATGCTCTGGTCGGCCCTGGCCAGCCACTGCCACCACGCCTCTCCCCACCATCCCTGGGTCTCGAGTGCCCCACCCGCCCGAGCCTGAACACAGCAGGCGTGAGAGTGTGGACACGGTCTGGGAGAGCTCCTCCCAGCTGGGGTAACTTGGGGTGATGGGGCTGCGCAGCCGCAGTGGGTGGGGTTCTTCTCCGAGACAGCCCTGGCAAGTCAGACCAGGGAAGGGGCCTATCTGGCTCCTGATCTGTGGGGCAGGGGCTTGGGGATGAAAGGCAGGACCCAGGGCTGACCCCTCCCTGGGACAGACAAGGACAGACGGGTGGTGATCCAGGAGAGAGCTGGGCTGGCAGGCAGGGGCTGGGAGGGGGAGCGCACATATGGAAAGGCCAAGGGGCCCCCGGAGAGGGACAGGAGGACTGGATGGCGACAGCAGAGATCCCCAGCACAAGCCCCTCCAGCCCACCAAGCTCTTGTGTGTGTGTGTCTGTGTGCGTGTCTGTGTTTCAGGGGAGGGACCTCTGCTCCCCCTCGCAGTGCCCCCAGCTGCGGGGGGGGGGGGGGGCCCGGACTCAGATGCAGGGTTGGAATGAGGGCGGAGGGGGGACAGGCAGGCTCCAGCCCCCTCCCCAGCCACTGCAGGCTTTTCCCACCCCCACTGCTTTTGAGAGTCATGTTCAAAAACAGTGAGAATCTGGTGAAAGCCTCTGGTCTGGATTAAGGGTCTGGGGGCGTGCCTTGGCCTCAACCCCGCCCAACCTGTGGGTGGGACCTACTTCTGAGCAGGTCTCCCCCACCCTATCTCCTCCGAAGAGAGGAGCCCACCAAGTGCTCAGAGGCAGGGGACTGGCCCAGAGTGACTGGAGGACAGAACCGTGGATAGTGAGAGCCCCGCCTCCCTCCACCCGCGGAGGCGGCTCCCAGGCCGGGGCAGGCAAGGATGGGGAGGGGGCAGGGATTGGGAAAAGGGGGAACAGTCCTCCAGGATCTAAATTTGGGGGCTCTTGATTTCTTCTGCCTCAGTTACAGCACAAGAATTTTGAGTCTATATTTTGCAGGTACATAAAACATTTAGCTTTAAAAAAAGACCCCTTCTCTCATGCAGAAGGGGAGGCTGGAATCTGGGGACCTGGGAGGAAGTGAGGCAGGGTGAGGGTCTGGAAGGTGCCCCCACCCCGGCCGCTGAAGGACTGACTGAGGCACCCACCACTTAGATTACAAAGGTTTATTTAGAAAATAGTTTGGCTGTTTTGGCTGTCATTTTTGGCAAACATTTAATGCTTTCAGTAACCAAAGATTGTCAGTGCTCTCTCCTCCCCCCCAGACAGCCGCCCCCACTAGTCCTGGGGAAGTCAGCCCTTGCTCAGATGCGGATCCGGGGTGGTGGTGTTTGGGAGGTCTCTTTTCTCATCCATGTGGGGAGTTGCATACGCCACTGCTTTCTATGACCCTGACCTCACAGCCACACCTTGGCAGGGGCCCCCGGAGCTGGATCCAGGCCTGGAGCCCCAGAAGCAGCCCCTTGCTGAGATGGGAAGGCAGAGGGGTCTCCCCTCTCTCCTGCCCCCTCCCTGGAGGCCCTGCGATCCCTCAGCCCAGGCTCCTGCCCTGCCATCCACCCTCCCCTGCGCCCTGGAAGCCAATCCATCCCTGGGTTTCTGAGGAAGCTGCTCCCGCTTTCTTCCGGGGTGGGGGTGGGGCACGCCAGCCCGCCCCTCCGCCCGGAGCTGTCCAGGGTCTCCGCGCGAGCGGGGCGCGCGGGTCACTGCCTGAAGCCCCGTCTCCTCCGTCGGAAGAGAATGTGCTTGAAGGAGCGCCGGAAGTCCTGGTTGAAGACGGTGTAGATGACCGGGTTGAGCGAGCTGTTGCAGTAGCCGATCCAGAAAAAGAACTTGAAGAGCGGGCCGGGCACCTGGCAGGCCTCGCGGCAGATGCCGTACAGGCTGTAGCTGAAGAAGAAAGGGAACCAGCAGAGCACGAACACGCCCATGACCACCGCCAGCACGAAGGTGAAGCGCTTCTCGCGCGCCTGGGCCACCTTGCGGCGGCACACACTGCTGCGCGCCCGGCGGCGGCGCGACAGGAAGAACTCG